ATAAAAACTCTAAATTAATTTACCTTGATCCATGCCGTCAAAAATAATAGAGAGGTACTGTGTCGGTTCATTCCTCGATTGTTCCCGTTTATTATAATAATATTGCCTCTCCATCCTGTAAAATAAAATATAAATTGATAAATCCCCATTTTATATATTCGAAAACCATATTCAATATCATATTAATTATATCTAATCGTATCAAATAATGTATTAAATCTTTTTAAAAACATAAATTAAAGCGTGGAGCGGAGATCGTGTCCATGTATTAAGAAACTTAAGAATATGCGTTTTCAATACCTGGGTTTGATCTTTGTATATGTGTCTGTGCTCGTTACAATGAGATAACAAAGATCGATAAGTTGTTTAGCAAAATAATAAAATATGATATTTAATTGCAATCAACGAAACGCAGTGTTAGTTTGTTATTAAAACAACGGGCTGGTTGTTGAGAGTGGGTGCGTGGTTTTCGAATAATTAGATACATGAAACCATATAGTCCTATGTACACAATGTACAGTAATGCCTGGGTTACATGTGCCCAGATTCATCGCCCGTCGCACGGCCGATTGAGTATTTTGTCCAAAATTGTATAGTTTTGACCAATATACTCATTCGGCCGCGCCCGGGCCGATGAATCGGAGCAAATGTCACCAAGGCTAAGTCAGGTAATCAGACATTATACATATGATTTTTTGAATGTATTAGGTACGTATGAAGTCCTTTACTCCAATGTAAATTCATTCTGATAACATAATAGCATCTTTATGTTTCACCTCTCAAGGCTGAGGAGAAATGAGATTTCATGGTTTACCATAGCCTTGCCCCAAGTCGGTCTCTTTTACTTATCTTGATTTCTATTATGACCGCCTTGTACCAAAGAGAAAGCCACGTGCTTTACCGAAAGTTTGTTTATGTCGGTGATTTTGACCAATAGCACGCGATCTTTCAATGTCTAAATTTAGGTTACAAACACACGAGGTAATACAGTTGTTGATTTTGCTCCAATCAGCAATTTAGTATTGGAACCTTTGATAGTGGCATTGTGGGAAGTCCTACCTCGCTTTACTTTCATCAGCTAGCAAAACTGAAAATGACCCTCGCAAAATCGATAAACGTTTTATTTGCTAAATATAATTGAAAGTAATTTGAATGTAGTGAACCGATTTAATATCAGAAAGTTGATGACTGATCAGTTCACATATAAACACTTATAGTTATGCTGTGAAAAGGATAATGAAAAGTTATTATGGTTCTGGTGAATGCGTTTTATTTGTAAGGGAGATGCCTGGATTTGCAGACTGCAAGCATGCCGCATATAACTTCACAATCGCATGGCGAACACGTGGATTTATTTATTGATTTTTGTGTATGACTACCGCTATTGGCTAATGCTATAGGGCACGCGTAATAGTTGGTGCATAATTTATCATAATAACAGTGGAGATGTATCGGATTACACAAGGCGGTAATAATTCAAGATCAGATAAAGTAAAAAATACCGACTTGGGGCAAGGCTAGGTTTACCATGGTGATGTAAATTTGATAATCAGAGATTGTTATGTGTAATGCGAAACGCATGCGGTTAAACCAGTGCATTCAATCCTTTAATCATATACAATACATTGATGGATCAAGATGCACGAAACGTGTTTGTTCTTCAAATTCAAATAAAGATATATAGTCCAGGAGTAAACGGGTGAAAAACCTAAGAAATTTAGCTGGCCATAAATATTGTTTCAATGACAGAATAGATTATCTAAATGTTTCCGTTTGAAATTCTATATCTCTGTTCATATGAGTATACTAGTAGATAGAATATCTATATCAGCTACTTGAATGTGAAAGCAACTTTTAATACTTGTAGTTAAAATGCAGAGTTTTTACATTTCAATTAGAGCATAGGCGTGGGGGGGGGTTGCAATTGGTGATCGCCCCATTACCATGAGAAGAAAAGAGCTTTGAAATGATTTTTATTTGACGCTTCTAGCTCAATTTATTATAAAGGAAGTTGCATAAATTTTCGTGAAATTCAAGATAAATCTTAATTGTTGGCTTTTTATGCCACAATCGCATCCCCTGACTGAAAATGGATTTTTTGGCGATCGCACAAGCCCCCCCCCCCAATTTAATTGTGGAAAATGTCAAACATTTTTTCCATGATTACTTGTCAAGCGTAGGTTCTATGCGGAGGATGAGTAAGGACCCCAATTAGCAATATACTCATCTAATAATATAACCACATTTAAGGCAAACATTGCTTCTAAAATATGTGAACGAAATACGCCGATGATGAATAAAATACTATAATGCTCGGTATGCCTATCTACAAAATTGACGAAAAGTAAAAATATAAAATAAATATATAAATGGCACACGCTTCTAAGGATGAGTAAAATGTCCCTATATTACGCAAGCTAAATCAGTTAATATTAATATAATACAAGTGACAAAAATACTTGAATCGGATTCATGAAGCGACTATCATATTTATTTAAGCATTCCTTCTAATAAATTAATTCATTGGTCATCAGTATCTACTGAATCAAAGGGTATATAGCAGCGAAACGCGAAAATTACTCTGTGTGCTTGGCGAGATGCAATCGGTTACCTGACCAACTCTGAATTCGAATGAATGGGTATTAAAATTGACCAAATCGAAACCAATTCAAGACAACGCATCTTTTGCGCATGCACTACTATAATATGTAATTCAAATGGGAATTGACCTCCAGTTGACATTTCAATATTTGTGTTAATTTCGTGAAGTCCTACCAAAATCAAAGACATAACGAAATGTCCTAGGAAAGCGTACTTGTTACTCGATATAGATAAAGGACCAGGCTTACTGTTATCACCTTTGACGAGAAGAATTTTCTTCAGAGGTTTATTGACGAATTGCATCTTGCAGCTGTTGTGATTAGAAATAGTCTAAAAAGTGTACGTGCGATGATAGCTCGAGTTTTTTGCCGAAACCTAATTAACCTTGCTATCATAAAATGAATTGTCTGTAAAATGCAATTTTCGAATAACAAATTGAACTAAGGAACAAAGTTACCAGCAATTTCGCACGGGGACTTATTTACCCTAACGATCAGCAATCATTTATTCCAATGACTTAAAAGTGTAAATACTTACATTTGCCTATTGTTATGCTCGTTGAGTGCCTTTTTGATAAGTCTTCTTCGTTCTGGGTTCAGAGTTCTCTCAAGGCGTCTGTTTAGACTCACACATTTATCACATTTAGTGAAACAGTTTGTCTGAAATATAAACACGATTTTACTTGATATATATTAATCAACATACAAATTCCTGACAACGAACTTCACAAAGGATTTCAATGAGCCACTTTACTAAACAACTTTAACCAGCCTAGGGAATCTTTCTATCTAAATTAACGAGATTTTTTCAGCGCATTTTTTGAATTTATGGATCCGTCACTAAAATTGTATGCTCTTTGAGATGCTGTAATCAATAGTAACACAATTTACCAAACTCCAGAAAGAAACTGATTTTACAGTATGGTTCACAGCTAAATGATCTCACCCTGTTGTAAACTTAAGGTTCACATGTAAAGCTAAAGATTAATTACTAAGCTTATTGAAATGGATAAGGATCTCTTCTGTGCTACATTATATAAATCACGGGTGACTTTTTACATTTCTAATGATTTTGCCATACTGCTATATTATACTGAGAAGGCCTATCTCACCATGGTAAAAAGGCCAAATATCAAATGTAAAATAAATAGCGGTCATATTTCAGTACCCTTTCATTTGTGTTTTGAGAAAGTGAACCATGATTTTGAAAATGATATGAATAACATTGCTAAATGTAACGCATTTTGACTAGTTTTTATTACTAGTTGCTGAAAATCGCAAGAAGAAAGCTGCCATTTTAAAATCGACCTTTTATATCATTAGACCTTCAGTGTGATAAAAAAGCTATTGAAATTAAAAAAAATTATAGCAAATTATAGAGAATTTATAGCACTTGTGATAGAATGGATTGCTTAGCTTCCCCTTCGTGAATATGCCTGTTTAGGCTAACAGAAGTATGTCGCGAATAAATTACTCAGTTTTATTTGCACCCCGGGTGTTGCACTAATAATATGATATTTTGATGTACCATAAATAATTTTAGCCCCGCATATCTGGTTAGTATTACAATACCAAATTATGTAACATGTGAATTTGGAGTTTCAGTAAGTTTAAATATTACATTTAGATGGATTATTCACTTGCAAAACTTTCAAAATCATAAGTATTCAGATTGAAATAACTTTACAACTTAGTAGAGAATGTGGTAAAGAATTAATTAATTATTACAAACCCCTTTATAATAAGGATAACATGACCTAATTCTTGTTTGGGCAAGGTAAAACTTTATTTTGTCTAAAAATTGTTTACAAGTAAACAAAGCTAGTTCCTACTCCCTACATGTACGTACACTACAATTAGTTCTACTTGACACAGAGCCAAGCCAAAGTTCAAGGGTGAACTTGAATTACCTTGTATACAGATACACGCGTGTGTGTAATTAACATTTAATAGAGTACTATATAATAGAATAAGCACAGTTGAGTACCATAAGGTAATGATTATTTGATAGTCTAAATCAAATAAGCTGCAAAGGGAGTGGGATTGGCTGGTATTTTAATGTAAATATATTTTCTACTTTTTATGACGTAACATTTATCAATTATCGCAAAAAAATTATGATATGATGTAACTTCGAATTGAAAAAGATCTAAGGCAATCTAAGGATAATTTTGGCTTAAAGGTACGGAAAGCTGCGAAAAGTTACGTATCGATATTAAAAGTTGAATAATAAATGCATAACGATGAACCTAGTATCAAATATATCAAAGTTTGGTCCTGCAGTTATAATCTTGAAATGGGGTGGATCTTAAAAATCTATTTAATAGTGGGACTGATTTAAGTGGCAAAAGGGCAATTCAAAAGTGTTAATTGGGTCCGTTATCCCCCCCCCCCTCTCAGAGAATCATACCTTGAACGAAGGTTGGATGTTTTGCACTCGGTCCCAGTTAAAGTTAAGGTCTACACCTCTCATTTTTGTACAAAAGGTCATTAAGGTAAGAATAAGTAGAATATTCAGTGGTATACATTTCAAATTTGCAAAAATCCATATTTTCCACACCAACCTAAAAGTTCGCAATGTAATTACAAGGTGGGCTTTTTAATAATGGAATTAATGTTGCACATAATTCTAATGGAATGAACTTCTTTTTGTTAATTTGTAACATAAATCTTACGCTTACCTTTTTAATCTTAAGATGGGGAAACATGTCAGCCCACATACGCATGAAACTTGTCTTGCTGAAAAAGTTTCGAAACTTTTCTACTCTTTCGCTTTTGTATCGAAGGTACAGTCCCTCTTTCCTCGTCTTGTAGGGAAGCATAACATCTTCTGAATCGGGCATTCGGTCAGCATGATAAGTCGCATATTCTTCTAACCAAAACTTAGCATCGTCGTAGAGTGATGTTTTACTTCTGCGCCTTTGATAACCCGTTGACAAGACTCCGTTTTCATAATCTTTCACTGATTTATAATAGAAACCTTTGCTTATATAAAAAAGTTGGCAAAATGCCTTTGAACATATTCCCAATCCATTTTCAATCATTAAAAAATATTTTCCATTATTCTGTTTTGCGTCTCTTAATTTCTGTATCAACCATTCGTGTCTAGATTCAAAATCCTTCGTCCATAAAATCTCCCTACATCTACGAGCCATGTCCATGTTTACATTTAAATGACATTTTGAAATGCAGCATTTCTTCATATATTTAATCTGGAGTAATGATCCGTGTCTTAAGCTTTTTTCCAATATCCTTGAAACCGTTCTTTCACGTTTTGGGGCTATAAAATGAACAATATGTTATAAATTGACAAGATTAAAATGTGCAATTGTATTAAATGTTAAATGAGTAAATTTGAAATGGCATACTTTCGCTGTGACATTATTTTCTAAACATGCAATCTGAAGTCTAACATCACTCAAATCGATGCAGATAGAATAAGGGATGTCTCGTCTTGAAACAAGACAAGTGCATGATCAAAAAGTAGTCTCCTGAAAATTTATGTGTATTTTTGTATTTTCTTATATGTACAAGCGTTGTTAAGGAGCATTTAAATATATATATGTCGAAAATGTGTTTGCCGGAAAAACGTTATTTGAACGTCAGGTGGAAGGAAGTGGTCACTGGCCTTAAAAGTTATCCTTCCGTCATCTTTCCCAGGAAATAAATCATTTCGAATACAAATGTTGTTGGATAGATAATTTGTTCAAATCAAATGCATTTCTGAACAAAATACTCAATCGACCGGGCGCCTAGTTGTTAGATCAGAATATTACTCACCTGTTGAGAAAGAAGTGATGTTGACTTTCGGGGTAACACTCCCTAAGTCTTCCGGAAGTAAATCTTTTAAGCTATCTATAGGAGATGTCTCGTCGTCATAATCGCTAAAGCTATCGTTCCATAAGTCACTTTTCATCTGATTTTTGAATGGCGCAATGGGAGTACTGGTTAATTGTTTGTTTTCGTTATGACGGATTTTCGAAGGTGTTTTAACCGTATTTTCGTATTTGCCATCGTCGTCGCAAAAATCAAATACATCTAGTTTTGGACTATTGGCGCTTGTATCCATATCATCTTGACAGATAAGTGAAGTACCAAGTGGCTGATCATTGTTTTCAAGAGATATTCCAAGAGGGTCGTCATTGTTGTCATCGTTTGCTATATCGAGGGATATTCCCAGGGGATCCTCAGATGTTGTGTTTAAAAGGAAGCTTTTACCCTGAAAATCGAAATTGAATTTTGTTAAATTTTACTGGTTTCATATAAACCTCAATTCCTAAAATGTCTTGACAAAGGAAAAAAGAGCATGTATTATGTAAACCAGGTAGAAAACGCAGTGCTAGCCATAAAACCATTAACGCCGGAATCGATGATTATTATAATTTCTTTCTTTAGTTTCATGTTAGAATTGGCATATCAATTCATTACTCACCGCATTGTTGTCAGCACCAGGTATTTTGATTGGGTAAATGTAGTCGGATATTAATAGAATGAGACAGACATATATGGTCCATCTATCCATGTTCCGTGTGTAGACTTCTGATTCGTTTTCGACTTTCTAAAGTGTCCAAACTCTAATTATTCCATTGTATTTGTCCTTTGTAAATGTATTAGTGATCATATAACGTCAGTTAGCAGGTTAACAAAGATTCATTTGCGCATGTTGTTTGTTGAAACAAGTATTTCGTTTCTGGGTCACTCATTGGCTCTTTACCCCGAGGCTAAGGAATGTTATGGATTTCACGACTGGTACATGGCTTATCCAATGATACTTGTATAGTATTTTACAATCTAAAATACAGTAAAACCTGACTAATCTGAACGCCATTGGAACTAGCTAAAAGTGTTCGGATTAGACAGGTTTTCGCATCTCCAAGATCCTGGACTTTGAAGGCCCGATATGATTAAGAGTATTAGATATTTTTCCAAAAATGTTGAAACAAAAATAAATCTAAGCTTTTAAAATATTTGAGAAATCTGTGAACTATTTTTAAAAGTGTTCAAGTAAGACAGGTGCATCTTCACTTTTCAAGTTTCTATGACATGAAAGTAAATGGTAAGGCAGAGGGGAAAGCGTTCGGATTTGAAGGTACTCGGATTACCCAGGTTTTAGATTTAACAGGTTCTACTGTACTCCCTCTTTACTTTTGAGATACCCTTTTGAAATATCCTATCATTTTATTGTTTCGGTTTATAATAACGTATTAACCAATTAAAAAGTAATTACGGTTATGTGTCATTTGCTGAAACCTTGAAGTTCTATGCTAATATGACAGATTTTAAAATCAAGGTCTCATTGATAAAACAAAGCTAGTGTGTGACATTTTTAAGGGCTGCATGATTGCAGGGGAATTTCTTAGTAACATGGAGTATTACGTTTTTACACTCTGATATACGTACACGCACATGCAGACTATGCTTGTTATTCCATCATGGCTTCGTTTCTGAATAATTGGCATATGATTGAAAGCGATGATAAAATATACCTTCAAAAAGAGGTAGAACCAGAACTCTATGAGATTAAGGGTGTTTATCAAGCAAAATTGCAAAAGCAGGGCGAGAAGATAAAGGTAAGTTGTTTCCATTTAAGTTCTTTTGCAAGCCGTGTTGACTTTTGAGCAAATTTCAATGAAAGGAATTCCTGGGTCATATTTGCTCCGATTCATCGGCCAGCGCCCTGCTGATTGAGTATTTTGTTCAAACTTGTATACACTACAGTTTTGACCAGAATACTCAATCAGGTTTGCGCTGGCCGATGAATCTGAGCAAATGTGACCCGGGCATCAGTCACCCATCCCTCTTGTATTCTAGGTAATTTATTAACCTATAAATGAAGAAAATATGAGAGAGGGATGACTTGCTCCCCGTTGTTCAATGGGAAGGATTTTGAATGGACTTTAGATCAATGTTTGTGATTTTGATATTACCTCATTCTCTTAGGACAGGTTTTCACTGTTTTCACAAAATGTAGGACACTAATATAAGTTGAGTAAGTTAAAGGGAGTAGAAAGGATAGAGGTAATGAGTGCTTGTCTCCTTGGTTTCCTCACAGTTTTTAGTCCTTTTCGTTTGGCCCCTAAGCTTAGATATCTATATTCTAGGAAGGGGGATCAGCGTTTGCAGTTTACTACTTTCAATATCTTTCGTCTGGAGGGGGGGGGTCATGTTGATCATGCAGTGTATCAATCATCCGAATTCATACTGAAAGAATGTGGCTTTTAGTCAAACATCTGTAACTTCTGTAACCATTTACAACAGGTATGATGAGTTATGGCATTTCGTCAGATCATATTATAGCATTATTAATTTTAATAGAAAACATTAGTAACATTTGGACAAATAATCTCATCTTATGCACAAATGTAAAGGTGCACACTTGTTTCCAACATATATTTCCATTTCAGATGCTTATTTGGGACCATGTCCTCGGGGAAGCAACAGACAAAACTGTGTATCTTGGGTCCTTGCAAACTGGAAAGAACGCTTTTAGCAAAAGGTTTCAAGAGGCGGCAACTAGAGTGTCAAGAACATTGTTCTGCAATCTTTGGGAGGAAACCGGTCGAAAATGTGAGTTATGAACAAATAAAGTATAATATATAAAAAGCAGTGCCTCATTGTTTTGCTCTGTGTTTGAACTTGAAATTGAACTTGAATTAAAGTTCATAAGATCGATATGGCGTTCCAAGTTAAATGGCATTCTGGATTTCATTTGTCATTAAACATTATTTGGCTTTTTCAGGTTTACCTGATCCATTACCGCAACAACGACAGTTAGGTTCCCTGGATGTAGACGACGCTGATCATTTGGATTTGGTGAGTTCAAGTATTGTTCTTTCTGTTAAGATATATTCTGGTGATACAGCACAAAAGCGAAGCCATAATTATCACCCAGTTCCCCTTTCCGTTTCTTTGATCTCCATGGTTTTGAACAAGTTAGACCAAATGGAAGTCGAAGGTTTTGATAGGTTTTAAAGAGAAACTTTTAATGAGGTTTGAGTCAAATTGTGAAAATTAAGGGGAGCAAAAGAATGTGATCTTAAATTATTGAAATTTTAAATTTCAAAATATGTCGCATTTCATGTCTTGTCTGGAAAGTAAGCAAATCTCAGCGGTTGGTATGGATAATCCAGTTAACCTCAATTTTGCAAACACATATACATGTATCTCATACTTGAGTGGGTTTGGGGTAGATATCACCCGGGAATATATATCGTATCTGAGGAGCGGGAAGGATATATTGTATATGTCCCGCTCCAGGCCAAATGCGGGCAGATATAATATATCTATAATTTTTCAAAAGTTTAAAAAAGTTTAAATATCAAAAGTTTTAATTTTTTAATTTTAAAATTTTAATTTTTTAAGTTTAAATGTTACAATTTCATTGTATTGAACAAAAAGAATGTTACGAAAATGTTCAATATAAATATCTTGTCATTTGAAAAAGGTGGAAAAGGTTATATCTACCCTAAACCCACTCAAGTATGAGATACACCAGTTATGCACGGTCGGTTTGGATACATGGAATATCCCTTGGGATATACAATACATCTTCCCTCGGTCCCTTCGATCCCTCGGGAAGATATATTGTATATCCCTCGGGATATTCCCTGTATCCAAAACCTCCCAGTGAATAACCCCTATGTACTGAAATTATAAGAATTTAGAGCGATGCTTAAAAACCATAATTAACTTCTATGACGTGCACGGGCCTGGGGACAATTCCGGCTAATCTCAGCTTTAAGCGTTAATATCTTATTTAAAAAGCTAACTATGTTCTTTATATATCATTTTGAAGTAATTTTTATTCGCATTTCACTGAAATTATTTTTCTTTTAAAGGTTTGATGGGATCTATCACATTTTTAAAGTTAAATATACCCCGACATCATGTAAGACGTAACATTTTACGCTTACACGGTTCGTTGAAATCGGGATAACTTTTGAAATACTGAGCAAAAGTTTTTCTAAAATTTCACATTTTATTCAATAGAACATGTGCATTTATGACGTCACAATTACATAACGGCTACAGTTCAAATTGTCTTATATGAACGCTTTTAAAATTTTCAAAATTGTGTAAGATTTTGAAGGCGAGGGAGACAAGCAATAAGTTTACCTTTATTTAAAGAGAGAATCAGATTTTGCGAGCATAGCAGCGTAACAAAAATTTTAAAATTGAAATTATAGTTTCAATTTTAGAATATTTCTGGCATATGTCATTATATTCCTTTTTATGTCTATTTTCCAAAAACACACTTTAATAACACTTTATTTCAGGAAAACTAAAGATTTTTCAATAATCTATTGTTTTTCTATAAGTATGGTTACCATTCTTATTATTTGGAAGAATTTAAACATTTTTCACCCATTTTTGGACTTTGAATCCATTATAACTTCACCAATTTATAATACATCGTGAATCGTTTTGGAGGTATTGTATTTGAATAGATTGGCAGGTCTGTTGCACATGTTGCTTGTAAATTTGTCACCCCCATGGATTTGATTGTGCCTTTAACCTTCTAATTTAGGTCTGATTTCAAAAATAAATTAACTGCACACTATTGTCATGGCGAATTTTACAAAACAATAACCGATTTGTATATTTTTCAAATAATATCAAAATAAGAGCTGATTTTAGAGACTCGAAAAAATGTAACACATCGATTTTTACCACAAATTCCATACATATCAATTTTTAC